AATGCCCTATCCTCCAGAGCCGAACCAAAACCAATAATCCTTATAGAACCCATTGTGTTTACTTCAATATTAAGAATTCATTTATATTATTTACCAACCATCTTAAGGGTTTTTTTAATTATATTGTTACGCACCAGATTAAAGAAATAACCTGTTGTTTATAATTACTTATGCTAAGTACTTAGGTAGCTACCTTACCTACCTACCTATAGGTATATGTATTTGAATTAAAAATACAATTTTTCTCAAATGTATTATTATTGCTATTATTAATATTATATAATTTATTTTAAATTAATTCGGATAAAACCTGTAAAGGAAAAGAAAAACAAAAGCATATTTTCTATTTTATTAATTTCAAAACAGTTATAAATACACAAATTTTTAATTCTAATTTTAAAACATTAATTAATAGTTAACTAATTTATATCATAATATATATCATTAAGAATGGGACATAGTACAACTAAAGATTATCTGATTAAAAATAAAACTATTAAACGAAATATGCTTAGAAAAAAAAATACCCGTTTTGGAAATGCAGGGTGTTAAAGTTGAAAATTCAAAAATTATTAATGGCTATAATATTTTTATTTTTTAGTATCATTTTACTGAATTCGGTAAACATTTTTGACACTTTTCAAAAACTAATTTAAACTATAATTTAATTTCTTTATATAAATCATGTAGGTACTCTTGTTGGGAACTCGTCCTTTATTAACAGTAAAATAATTCGGTAATAAAACATAAACACAACTCATTCACAATACCTACTACCCGTAAACGCACTAACAACGCACAATAACAAACATTAGATAGAAAATAGTTCAAATAATGAATCACACGAGTGAATGAAATTTTATCCAAAAGCTAAAAATAGAAATCCATCGATCGGTTCCCGTCATTCACTAAAATTTCAGGTGGACCCTCAACTCCGCCCACTGCAAACGAATATCGACTTATCCATTTTCACTAGCGCCATCTATTGGTAGTATCCATTTCGCTCCAATGAAACTTCCATAAGGTGAGACTACTATTAGTTCTTTATACAATGGTATAGTAATCCTAGATATTGGTGGTAGTTATACAATGTTACTGTACCCGTAAGGACCAGAGCTGTAACATAATTTTACTGCCGCAGTAGTAATCTAAATATTAATATATCTTGTATTACTGCGGTAAAATCTTCTAGCTGAGGCATATTTAATTACCTTTTTCTTACTGCCACAGTAAGAATTTTTTTTCAGTGTAGGTTAGATAAATTTAGTTAAAGTAACCTATTTTCAGCCCATAAATCTGTGGTAACTTCATAAACATGCACTTTCTGGACACCCTGTATGTTTTAAAGCTTGTTATAGTGAAAATTTATAATAAAACAACAATGAAGATAATATTTATTTAGAGTCTAGCATTGCAGACTTATAGTGAAAATCATATACTTGATACTAATTTTTCATTTCTTTATTGTTTGGTTGGAAGATTTCCTTTCACTTTCTTCTGCATTTACCATGAAGAAAAATTATAAGGATCGGTTATATTAAATTCCCCGAGGCTAAAATGCGTGAGAAACATTCTTTAAAGTAGCTATACATGATAGCGTATAGTTTATTTCAACGGTATAATACATGTGTGTGAATCTTCTTATAATACTAAAGAAATATTTAGTTTGATATCTGAAATAACTAACTGTTTATTAAATATTAGTCGTGGATAGAATAGAATTTATTTTTATCTGTAAATAACTGATTTAAGGTAGAATAGAACTATTATAATTTAAACAACCATAAACGTGATTCCCGATATCTGACAAGTAAAATTTATAGTTTTGTATTAAAGGGTTGGGCACTATTTCAAAGTCAATTGAATGACGAATATTTTTAATAAAAATCAGGAGAGTTTTATTTTTATTTATTATTTATGAAAATTACGAGTTTCTTTAAATCCTTTCAAAAAACTGTACTTTTTCGCCGATTTTTTTGAACTATTTTTTATTTAGGGACTTCTGGATCAAAGATTGGGCTCGGGTTTAATCTAAGATCGTGCAATTTAATTATTTTGCTTATCTGTTAAGCTATGGTGTATGTGGAACTTTATAATCAATGACAATGTCTCCGATTTTATAATAACCTTAGATAAAAGAGACCAGAGATATAACATACACCGGTGTTTAATCTGCGCAAATGTTGCCAATTTCTAAAGAAAGGTTAACGGAGTGGGGGAACTGGGCGGCGACACGCGGCGACCCGAACTCTGTGGCAGGGACCGGACTTTATTTATTAGCATCATAATGAACTATTACATTTATTTAAAAGGTGTTTAATCGAATTTTGTATTATGAAATAAAATTAACGTGATTTTTTAATATCAAACAGATGCCACGACATTTTATGTAAAGAGAAGACCTTTTATAGAATATTTCGTTAGCGTTTATTTACTACGGACTTTTCTGCAAGAGATTACAGTAAAATGTTGAAATAGAATATATTATTGATAGAGCAAAAAATGTTACTCATTGTCTAGGAGTATTATAAAAATAGCATGTGCGCAGGCGAATACTGCAAATCTAACCTTATGAGTTGAACATTATATTTTTTCTACGGCTAGTACATAATAATAAAAATTAGTCAAAATGAGAAGATGCTGTTTTGTATTATGACCTCAGAAAAAGGTATGTTAAGGCTTCTTTCTTTAGGAATATTAATTATTATAAAGGATGAGTCACATAAAACTACTAAAGTAATTTGGTCGCTAGGGATGAGTGATTATTGAAATAAATTATCGATCATTGAAAATAATCGATTATTTTCGATCAATCGATTATTTTCAAACAACATATTTTTTTGTCATTTCCTTTAAAATCGACTACTTGATTATCTTTGAAAAATCAAAAATAATCGATTAATTAAAATGCCAATTAACCGATAAATCAGTGTTTACAAAATATAATAAAAAAAAAATTATCGTTTATTTTAAATAATCGTTTATTTTAAATAATCGATTATTTTCAAATAAACCATTTTTTTTTTCGTCCGTGGAAACAAGATTATTCGATAATTTTTAAAAAATCCAAAATAATCGACTAATCAAAAATAATCGATTAATTAAAAAGTCGATTAACTGATAAATCGATTTTCAAAAAAAAAAAAAAACAGAATGATCGACTATTTTAAATAATCGATTATTTTCGATCAATCGATTATTATCAATAATCTATTTTTATTGTATTTCCTTTAAAATCGATAATTCGATTATCTTTGAAATACCAAAAATAATAGATTATTCCTAAATAATCGTCTGTCGAAAATAACTTATTATTTCAGAAGCCGATTCTACGATAAATCGATTTTCCAAAAAATAACCGAATTATCGATTATTTTCTAATAATGCATTTTTTCGTCCATTGAAACAGATTATTTGACAATCTTTGAAAAATCTAAAATAATCGATTAATCAAAAATAATGTGACCAACTCCCGTAACTTTAGTATTTGTTTTGCTTATACTAGATCATATGGTGCGTTTTACTTTGTTTTAAGACTGAAGATTCAAATGTCACTTTCGATTTGACCGCAAATAAGATGAACCTTGTAATTTTAATTAGGTCATCCAGTATTTCATCTAATATTCTTATAAAAATACCTTATAAAAATAAAATTTAGCTAGCAACTATGATTCTTTACTTGTTATTTATCTACCAAGAAGGGCTTAAAATCACCTTTAGAAAACATTCTTATAAAACTACTTTTTAAATACAAAATTTCGTTAGCAACAATGCCTATTTACTTTTTATTTAAATTAAATGTTCAAAATTTTATCTTTTTGTAAATTTATGTAATATGAAATCTGATTTCTGATGCTTAATATTTATTGAAACCCCTTAATGCGGATCTGAAGTATTCAGTCCACAGAAACATGGCGCTTTATGTCAAAACGTTAATAAATATTTACCGCTGAAAACGAATATGTTCATAACATTAGTACTTGTATTCTAAGTACATACATTTTTTCAAGATACATCGTGGCATTTTGAACTTGAAATTGATTAACTAAAGCACTTTAAATTGCTAAAATACCAAAAAATAAATCAAAAAACAGCTGTCAATGGTGATTAAACTCAGGTGGAGGTGATCGATGAATGGAAAAATCGGAGCAATTCGGGTGGCGTCGTGCAAACAATGATTTTCAATTGGTGGGTTACTTTGGGTTAAAACAGACAACATGCGCAGTGTGCAATGTTACATCTTCGGTCTCTTTAATCTAAGATAATAACTAACAAATTAGAAAAACGTCTACAACAACAAAAAGTACCAATAATAACTTCAGCAGTAGGTAACTTCAAAACAATTTTACTGATATATTTGACAGATATGCCAATTAAGTCATAAAAGTAACTAAAAATGCAATTTTTAATCAATTTCTTGTTTTAGCAGATCTCGTGGGATGCGGGAATTGTTGAACACTCTGTATATTTGTTTTATTACCACTGAAATGTTTCAGAAAGTTTTTATTTGAGAAATACTAAATCGTACCTACCACATCAAAGGAACTAGATGTCTCCAATTATATGTATTTACGGTATCTAAACATTATTTTTAATTAATAATTAGTTTCCTAATCATTAGGTACTACCCAATCGATTACTTTTGAATTAATTCATCGATAAATAAATGTCGAGTACTAAAAATCCATCATTAAGTAGCTTATTAAAACTGTATTCCATACTATTTATAGTAGTGGCGTCAGTATTTAATTTTGTCACTGTTTATTTAGATATGTTCATGCGATATATGAATACCTAATGAATTATTTAAATATTTTACAGGTGACAGTTTCACAATAACAATAGTAATATCCATAAATAGTTTTTAATAAATTTTACTCTTTCTTCCAGTGAATTATCCACATTTGTTATACTTAAATTGAAGAACCGTACATATTTTTAAAATACAAATTTGTTTACTTGATTTTCTCTTAATTATTTTTAATTTAGACTTTACTCACCTATATTTACGAGCTTAATGCCGTCTTGCTCTATGGCACTTAGGGCGCAAGTGACATTTTCTAGATAATGATGCTGGTTCATTGGTCTTTTGTTCCAAGATGGCTTCAAGGGTTTTTTCCTGAGAGCTTCAACCAAATAACAAAGTCTTACACCTGAAATATAAATTTTGAGATTTAAGATTTCAAAAAAAAGGTTATATAAAATTTGTTTTGAAAAATTCATCTGGATGTATGTTAATTAACATTTTTTGCAGAACCAGAAGGTATGTCATATATTTTTTTTAGAAATATCACCTTTTTTCTGCTATAAATCTGATATAAATTTTTCTTTAACCACTGTTCGATCAGCCTTACATTAATCTTAAAATATTTGAGACGTAATTATCCTTTTTTCTCAAAATATCTTATAATGAGAACGATCAATTGCAAACATTTACTACAAATATTAAAAACATTTACTTAAAACTGTATAATATCTTTAAGAACTAGTTTGAACAGTTTGGGAAATATAATTGGAGTGCTCTTTGCTCAGAGAGACTGAAAATTTGAGTAAATATCCATTCATTATTCTTGTCTCTGCCATATCCCCGTTTTTTAAATAAAACATTTTTAATGTTGAAGGAAGAATCTGGGCCTTTATTTTTTCGTATCTCAAATAGTCCTCAAATAAAGCTAATTTATAGTAAACTAACCCAAATAATTTTGCATTAATTTGTAGATACTAGATGTAATTGTGGTAACAATGTGGTGTCATCTAAGAGGTCTTACTTTTAAATGTTAACAAAATAATAATTAGGAATATAAATAACCAATTCAAAAACTAAGAATTTGATATGTTAAATAAAATTTATAGTAACTACTAACCTGTACATAAGTCTTTCGACAGATCCGCTACCCTTAAGTCTTGCGGTAAGTTCTCATTGACCCAATTCCTGAATGTGTTGGCTTGTATATCTACCCAAAGGTCTTCATTGCCCTTAATCTGCATACCCCTAGCTGCATGGCCTTCAGGACTTCTGGCTAGAAGTCCAGTGTGAGAGATCTTCTGGTCCATAGCTTTAGTTTCTTAATAGTTTGGCACTTAATGACATAACTGAAACAATTTTTTAATATGTAAACTATTGATAACAATATTCTATAGGTGTATTTATTTTATTTTCAGAAACAAACAGGCATTACCCTAATTACATATTTCTATAATATTATTGATATATCCGGAATGTAACATTACCCTGTATTTGTAAATAGGTTGAATGAGAGACATATGTTATGAGATTGTCATTGTCATAAGTGTTCTAATAAAAAATAATAATTATATTGATTCTGGATCATTTCAATTATTAACAAAAAAAGAAATCAACAAAATTACACAATATATAATTAATACACTTAATTTTGTTTATATTAAACAAACATCGCTATTAAAATGTTTTTAACAAAGTTTAAAGAAAAAGAAAAATGCTAAAATAACCAGAGATGCTAAAATAATCAGAGCGCCGGCAAACCCCACACGAAAGCCACGAATATCCTACAAAAAAATGTTTCTTTAACCCTTTAAGTGTTGGTGGTTCCTATATGGACCATGGTTCTTAAGGTAAAACATTGCCTTTACAGTCACGCAATTTTGAGCCTAAGTGAAAGCTAATACTTCACAAACGCTCAGTGGCTATGCTCGAGACCACTTGCCGTCCTGGTTTTATAGGCAACAAATATTTCCCCTATAAGTGGTCTTATAGGAGACCACCTTTATCTTAAAAGAAACATTTTTTGCACTTTTTTCAGAGGTTGGGTTTTTCTTGATTTTCCCGTTGGTATAACAAAAAATTAATAAAATCTATGAATTGTGTCATTTAGTATACTTTGTGGCGGGTAAGTTATATAATTTGGAAGTAAAATTAGTGTTAATTTTAACTGGTAGATAAAAAAAATAAACTGGTTTGAATTCTAATCTAAAAAATATTGTTTATTTATTAATGTTTTTATTGAAATAAAATGACATTGGAAGATTTCTAACATGCAAATATACCACCTAAGACATTAGTTTTACATATGATATTATAAATTTTGCTCTGAATTTTACCGCTTTGAAAATATTATCGGTTGTTTTAGTCCGGGCGCACTTTCAACGCTAATTTTTAATGCTGCTGTAAATAATCATTTTCTTTTCAGAGCAAAATGAGTAAAAAAAATGGTTTATAAGCAGTTAGGAAGCATTAGATATATGAGGAATTCAACAAATTGTTTGCTTGATGATAGTCAAACTAAAGACTAATAAATAGAAATAAAATTTAAAAAATTGATGGTAGAAGCTTTACTGTTGAAAATTCCGCCCGAAAAGTAAATGTTGGAAATTACCTTCCAGTGCAAGGTACAAAACTTAGGTGTGCTTATTGCAGTACAACAAAAAAGTTAGACGTACAAAACTTGCTTGTTCTGAATGTAACGTAGGTTTATGCATTTCATGTTTTCAGCCGTTTCATAATAAGTAAATTATAATATATTTTGTGTTTTCTTTGTTTAAAATTAGTGTTTATTGTTTATTAAATAAAATTTGGAAATATAAATAGTGGTTTCTATTGGGACCACCGAAATATAATATTCCTTCAGTCATCTTAAAAAGGCAGTGGTCCCAATAGGGACCACCCCTTAGAGAAACAATTTTGAAAAAAATTTGCAAAATTTCCTTGTAAAACAACCGATATAAAAGGTTTTTTTATTAAATTAAAACAAAAAAATAGTAATATTAAAAAAAAAGTTTTGCGACTTAAAGGGTTAATAATTCTTGTAAGTTCCCTTCTGTATGTGCTTATAGGTACATCAAAAATACCGCAAGAAATGTCTTCGGAATGTAAGTTAAATAATAGAAAAATTTATCTTCTTTGGTAATATTATGGATATGCTCATCAAATTTAAAGTTATTTTAAAAAACTATTCCCAAATCGGTCATTTTTGATACTCTCTCTAGTGCTGATCCTTGCATTGTGTAGATAAAATTTTGAGGATTACCAATTTGACTGAATGTAATTATCTTGCATTTGGAAAGATTAAATATTAATTTATTTTCTAATGATCAATCCGAAATTGAGTCATTGTTACGTGAAATTAATTTTAAATTAATTGCAAATTTATTTTTAACAACTTCTGCATAACCCCTCGTAACACAACTTAAACGACCACCGCTCGCTTCCTCGAAATTTGAAAAGTATGGTTTGCACACGGAACCTAGTGTTTCTTTGGGCAACCACGTCGTCATAAAACCGACTCGTTTGGATTCAACCGGTCTTTTGGTGTATCGAGTTCAACCTGGTAACTTGTGCCGATAAAATAAGTTGCTAGTAGTTTTCCATAATTATCTTTTATCTTTTATGTTTTTATTGTGTATTAACGTTGAGATAATTGTCAGGTAATGTTTCTTTCACCTTATATTTTAACATTTTGCTGGATTTCGTTGGAAAACCGAAAGGATCGGTTATTTGCTTTTTTTATTACCATCATGCCGGTTATTTATGTTTTATTTTATTTTATATAGATTAAAGCTACCTTAACTAATAATATTTGAAAGCTTTCTTTGATACTTTGATATATACGCGGGGAGGCAACTATATAATTGAATTACAAGTCAGTCTGTAAATACAGTTTAAACGGAAATCTATGGCTCCTAACTTATTTTGGCCTTATAAATAGTTATATTTTGTTCAGATGATGTAAAACTTATTGTTATAACTTATTTTGGCCTTATAAATATTTTATATTCTGTTCAGATGATGTAACTTTAATATTTGTCGTGACATTTTATATTCTGTTCAGACGATGTAACTTTAATATTTGTCCCGTTTATGCATAAGTCCGTTAGATTTCCAAACTGGCATGTATATGTACTTTTACTGTTACTGAGGTTCTTTTTATAAGAGAGGGGGGTAAAATGATCCCCGCGGGTTGAAATGAATTGAAAATTCGCCTTTCGTGCAAAATAAACGTAATATTAGCAACATTGTACTAGACGGAGCGGTTTTTAGGAGACAATGACCGGAAACACGAATCAGTTCGAATTCGACTAGTAACCAGTGAACTTGTGTTTTTTCCGTTTTCAAACGCTGTGAATGACCTTATATTTTATTATCGTGTTGTGTTGAGGAAGAGTTGTTCAATAAATGTTATCCATTTTCAAATAATATATGCAACTAAATTTATAATTATCAAAACTTAAAGCATGTAACTTTGGGGTAAAACGATCCTCCAGTAGGGGGGCAAAATGATCCCTTCATTTTACCCCTGCAAAAATGTTTTAAATCATTATTTTAATGTTTAAATTCATTTTACGTCTCTCTTACAGAATGCCACGAGCCTATAAGCAAATAACCAACAAACAAAATTGGGATGCTAAGCATATGAAAAATTCCATAGAAGTTAAGCGAGGAATGCCTGTGAAAACCGTTGCGCGAATCTTCAAGGTGCCAAGAATGTCGCTCAAGCGGCGTATAATAGACAAAAATAAGGTAGCGAAACTAGAGAAGAAGTCACTTGGTATCTGCCACCCTGTACTTTCGCCAGAACAAGATCAAGAACTAGTAAAGCATATCCTAGATTTTGAAAGTAGGATGTATGGACTGACTTTGCGTGATTTGCGATAATTAGCTTGCTGAAAAAACAAACTTCCCACCAGTTTTCCCATGTCAAAAAGGCTGTTGATAAAGATTAGTTGAGATGTCCTGAAGCGACCTCAGCTGCTAGAGCGAGAGCCTTCAACAAATGAGTTGTGACAAAGTTCTATAATCTGTTGAGAGAGATTTATGTAAAAAATAATTATGCCCCTTACCGAATTTTTAACGTAGACGAGACTTCGATTTCTACTGTGCCCGAGCAAAATTCAAGAATATTACATCGCGTCCATGACAAAACGACACAAACGCCAAAAAATCTAAAATTAGGCTAGTAGCACCACTGCATAGGGATTTTTTTTCTCCATCGATTCGCATTGAAAATTTTATGAAAATAAAATGTTTACCCCCGCCAAAACTCGTTAAAAGTTTGTACAAGCGCCATCTAAACAGGTTTATTGTTGATGATTTGGTACAAGCGCCAATCGCCCATAAACAACACACGGAGGAAGATCGTCGTATTTTTGTGTAATATTTATATTTTTGCAAGGTAAGAGCAAAAAACTAAAATACATCATATTAATCTTAGGATGTGGTTTATAATAATAATAATTGTATAAAAGTAAGAGAAAATTCCAAAAAATCAGATAAAGGAATGGACGCTTATGCCAATACATCTCACAAATTTTAAGTTTGGCACAAACGCCATTTCACATTTGTGTGTAACGTAATTTATTACAGAAGTTTTTAAGCAGTGGTTTGCTCATTTCATATCTTTTGTAAAGCCAAGTATTTATGAGCCCGCGTTACTTATATTAGATGGACATTTATCGCACACAAGAAATATCGATGTTATTTTAAGTGCCAGAGAAAACTTTGTAACCATCTTGTGTTTACCTCCCCACTGCACGCACAAGCTGCAGCCGTTGGACGTTGCTGTTATGGGTCCACTTAGCGTTTATTTCGACCAAGCATTGAACCATCATCTTGGTAGAACCGTGACAATGTTTCAAATTAGCCAAATATTTTGCGAGGGCTACTTAAAGGCTTGTATACCAACAAATGGAATAAATGGGTTCCGCAAAACTGGCATATTTCCATTTGACCCAGAGGTTTTTTTAGATGTCGACTGAATTAACCGATCAATTACCTAGTGACCTTGATGAAGCTGAGGATATGGCTTAAAGATCCAGTTCATGTAACGTAGCTGATTTATCGACAGACATAACCAACAAAGCAGATAATGGTTCTAGCGAAACAAACGATCTGTACAAGAATCCTGATCCTGGGACCAGCTTAAAACGAGATGAACAAATAAATTCATCTTTTATAGTTACACCCGAGAATACCGATCAATGAGAAGCGACAGCTTGGTGTTTTCAGTGTACCGTTTTGTAACGCGCATGTGCGAAAATAAGTTGTGTATCACTCAAAATTATGTTATCTGTCAAAGTCAGTCCAAGTTGTGTTTAGTACGTGAGCAATGTTAAGTGAT